TTTTCAAAGACACGGGAACAAAAGCCTTAAAGTCACTTTAAGGAGCAGATAATCATTTTTATATCTAGGACAGAAAGCCATTCTACACACAGCACATTTCTGCAGTAATAAAGCAGAAAGGACTTCACTGCCCATCTCTAACAGTTTTCCACAGACACAGGCTGCTGCAGGTAGTACTGCAGATACTAAACTCAGCCACATAAATTTAAGATATACATGATGGTTCAGGTGGGCACAGGTGAGCACACATTCTTAGTGTCACTGACTCATAATTATTACCGAATAAAGGTAACAACTACTGTCTACTCATCAAAAGGATTCTTTCAAGAAGGTCTGAATTAGACATTTATACACTGGCAATGAGACTCATTCCAACCCAGTATAATTCAACATAAACTATCCATTTTGCTTAAGGCCATTCTATAGGCTCTTTCTCCAACCAAGACATCAGACTTTACTGTGTCTTAAGATAGAATTAAAAGTCTTCAGAAATGCACTATTTCTTCAGAAAACAAATTCTTGAGACGGACACAATTTCCCCCGCCCAGGATACATAACCCCTTTATATGAGAAACCAAGTGTTAAGTATAAAACTGTAAAATTGTTTACCATTTTCAGGAAGAATAAGGAAAAACATTGTACATTACCTAAGTATAATGCAAGTATACCCGTACAACATCCTATTTCCTGAAAGGAAGCTACTGAAAAGCACTAAGGAAGTCAGCAAACTCTAAACAGCAATAAAGTACATAACATCATGGAATTAATGAATACAATCCTCTCTACACGCTGAATCACCATTAAAAATCATCTCAGCACTGCATGAAGCAAAGATCTTTTTTCTTTTCAATTTTCAGAAGGGTGGGATGGGAATGTCCACAGTATTTCTGTGGACGTCACTGATTCAGAAATCTCACTGGATACAAGAGAACCTTCTTGCAGTACGTTCTGGCTACGTTTGTTCATTTCTTCTGGCGTGGGCGATGACACTGACATCAGAGAAGTGCACTTTCACATCTCCTGAGAGTAAAACCAGACGTAGCTACTTGCAATAGTCAGAACTAATCCCTGGTATCCAAAATTGTATCACAACAACTCTTATACCAGCTTAGCTAAGGGACATTTAACATTTAATTGTATGGGTTCAATCTGTCTATATAATCCAGCTGAATTACAATTTTTAAACACATCTTAGAGGTTTTCCCCTACAGAAAATTCTGGAAAGTCTCTTCCCTCTTTTTTCTTGAGAAATCTTTGGATTTGGAGCCAATTATCTTTCATCACAGCAGTTGAGATGCATTTGTCTCAGTCCCCGTTTTCCCCTAGCTATAACACATTTTGAACCTATTTTAATGATGTTTGCCAGATCACCAATCTTTTTTCCAACATTTTTCCCCACACTGCTGCTTATCAGTCTTGGCCTCAATATCCCACAGATGGATGATCATCCATCTGTGGGCAAACGTAACATTTAGATTAATTCCCTTGCCTGTCATGTAGACATTCAATTATTGGTGAGCCCAGAACAATAATGTACTTTTTTTTCAGTCCAACTAGAAAGTTACAGTACTTTTGGGGAGTTGTGGTTTTTTGTTTTTTGTTTTTTCTTTTTTCTTTTACTGGCTTCCTCATTTGTAAACACTGTATGGACATACACAATTCTGAAGATATTCTGGAAGGGTATTGCTTGCTTGTTCTATTATGTTTCAATATACAGTATCTTCAATATACAGTATATATATTCAATATACAGTATATTCGGTATACAGAGTTATCTCCAAGGATTTCAAAGATCCCTGAAGTCTTTAATAGTTTACACAGTTTAATTATTATTAAAGTTATTTTTGTCACTCTACTTTGTAAAGCAAAAACAAAGTAAATGTGCTGCTAGAATCTACAGAGGTAACCGCATTAGTGTCAAACCAGTTAAAGCACTTAATTTATACTTGGACTTTAACCTCTTGTTTCTAAGTCCCACTGGAATCAAATACAAACTGTAAAAGGCTGTTATAAATTGCCATCCTTTCAAATAGCAGTATTGTTAATGCTCTTATATGAGAAAGAGGAAAAGGATGCTTTACTAAAATTGTTTGGCTTCTGTCACACACACAAAAGAACGCTTTTGTTTGACACTGATGCTGACTGCACTGAAATTTTTTCTTCAACACTTCAGAACGTCCCTGAACAATTTCCCTCACCTCCTGAAGGAAAACAGATATTCTGCACACACATTAAAATGTTGTGCATAAGAAAAAATTCCTTGACAGTCAAACAGCACCCCATTTCCTTGTCTATCATCCCGTATCCTTACTTGTATTTGATTAAGTAAATCACAGGAGCAAGAGCTGAAAATCAGTTCCCACAAGTGACCAAAGTGAATTTGATGTCGCGTTCTCTTCTAATAGAATGTGTTGTGATCCTTCAGTTACTGAGATCTCTCTTCACTGCCTGTTAGTCTTCCAGCTCTTTGTTCTCTTTTTACACATCTCATGCTGCTGGCTATACCTTGTTTAACCACAACACAGCCAGAACATTCCTCCTTCACCACTGAATTTCTCAAAACTTCTCTTTAGAAAAAGTTACCAGAGTCCAACTGTAATATACATACATACATACGTACAAACTTCAAGGAACATATTGCAATGCTCTAGCTAAAACAAGCCACTGAGATAATTATTTTGTATATTATGTAGAGCTGTTTCACAAATACCAAGAAAAGTGAAAGAAAACATGATCCACTAAAGACCTGATGCAATTTTCCCCCTAACGTCAACGCAGAGTAGAATCACAGCAGAATGTCACACCACACCGGCGGAACACACTGTATCTCTGAACTCGTGTTTTCAATATTAAAACATATATGTATTTTAACAGCAGTTTACCCATACTTACAGTAGGTGAAATGGTATTATTATGATGTAAGTGTTGCATGGTAAAGTCTGGACACAATTCCACAAAAATAGCCTGAACTGGAATCTCCAAGCAACACACTTTTGCCAAAATCAGCCTATGAACTCATCACAAACTAGCATGGCTAAATTCTGTACGAGCTTAAAAAGTGCTTCTCTAAGTTATCAGTGTACTATGCTTGCAAATGCTATTGCTACACAAAAATTCTAAGAGATCACTCTCCAAAGTTCTAAAATGTGAAACATTTTCTTCCACATTAAACATATTTCATCTGCGTAAACATATTTGAAATGATGTAAAACCTGGGGCAATATAGTGCACCACTTGTTAAGAACAATGAAAAAATACTTTGAAATGATTTTTTTTTTTAATATAACTTTGACATGCTTGTTTGTTCAGAGAAAGAGCTTGGTGCTGCCCACAGAACCAATGACAGACTCTCAAAGTTCTGCTATCCATACGTGCAGCCTTATCCAACTTCAAGACAGAACATATGCACCACTAAGTCAAAGTAGAAAGCTGCAATCTGTTACTCACTTACCATTATGTAACCCATGCTACATAAATTCCAGACATATTTTTATTTCCTATCTAAAGTTACTCTCTAGTCTTTCTTGCACAAAGTCTCCTTGATATATTTTATGAGAAATTTCAATGAAGACCAAAAAAATTCATCCAGATAAAAAGAAAAAAAAAAAGTCTCCCATACTATTTAACTGTATAAACTTCACATCCAATTGCAAAATTCACAGGCATTTTCTATCATCCTCCTGAATAAACAGGACAGATTAGACCCGTTTTCCTTCTTAAATTCATATTTATCTTTGGAACAACATTCTTATCTAAACACACTTTATTTACTTCACAGAATGCAGTTCCAGCTCTAAGACACTCTTTATACTTCCTCATGAGTTTTGTTTTTAAGTATAATTTCCAATCACCTCAAGTGCTAATTAACATACTTTTCACAACACCCTGGGATTTATATGCTCAGTGGATAGCAAGAGTCGGAAGAAAGAGACACAATCCAACACTGATGACCACTAATATTGAAAAATTACAGAAAAAACAATGGCACCTTCTTGTGAAAAGTGATGTTGACAATGCAGTGAAGCATCTTCTTGAAACTTCTGAGAAAAAGGTGTCATGCTTTGCAAACAGCACACTTCACTGCTCTGAAAAGCTTAATCTAAGGCCTAAGGCTGCCCACTGTTCTCCATATTAGGGCCAAGACTTGTTATCCATCATTGTGTTTAAAAATATAAATGGACAGAAGATAAAGATATGCAATACAGAAATGCACATATATTCATACAAAGGAAGTGTTTACAGGCTTAGAAAAAAAGCCTCTTCCTTACATCGTCAGAGCATATTTTTCTGTGCTGTAGCAGGGTCAGGAGACTTTGAATACCTTAGCTCTCCATCTTAATGTGTTCATTATTTAACTGCAGGAGCTTTTGTCCAAATCAAACCAGCAGACACTGGTTGGTAATACCTAACCTACGATTCATCAGGCTCTTCATCCTTTAAGCCAAAACTTGTCCTCAGATTCCCCCAAAAATGGACCATGAGCCAAGGCCACAAGCTGGGCATCTATGCAATCCTTTTTTTTAATTTTTATTAAATACGAAGCAGAGACAGTAGTCTAGCCTTCATACTGTGTAGAAGTTCATAAACACATAATAAATTAAATATAGAGAAAAACAGTCACCAATGGGAGTCCTAGACTCCAATTTTCCAAGAAGGATATCCATCATATTGAAGGGAGCTGTCATCCTAAGCTGACTACACTCTCAACTATGCCTACTTCAACAAATGTTGAAGGAAAAGCTATCATCTAGAAACAGCATTATGACAGTCCAACAGTGAATGAGGTTCAATTTTTCTTTTCATCCAGGAAATCTGTTTTATCTCTCAGCAGAATGCACAATATTGAAGCTTTTGCTAATCTCAGAATTATCTTGTCTAATTAACTTACTTTTTTTTTTCTTTTTGTCTTTAAGTATTACTGCAATTCAGGTGAACAGACAAAAAATTTCAAGATCTTAAATAAAAGAGGCTTATAGTATGCTTTTTGCAATTGTACTTACATTGAAAAGATGACGCAAGTTGGTCTTGGCCGAGTCTCAGCGGTAATGAGCCCTCAGTGGACTGTTCTCCTGAAACCACTTTCTTTACTGGATAATATTTGGGTTTGATCACATATTCCTGTGTTTGGCCATGATGAAGATTCATCATCAGTGTCTGAGATGAAAGTGGTATCATCCTGATTAAGGAAAAAAAACAGAAGAGACACAGTAAGTATTAATAAGTTAGACTTCAAACCAACTGGTAAAAAAAAATTAAGACAAATTCATCTGTACTCCAAGCTCTCAAAAGTCAATTTGGGAAACTTACTGGCTTCTAATTAAGCACCCAATTTTCCATGCATTTAACATTTTAATTGTCTTGTCAGCTCAACAAGCACTTAGGCATATGAAGACTATAGAGATTATATCACCTCTTTTTTGATAAAGAAGTATCATGAAAATGGGAAGAAATCTCAGAAAACAGGGAGAAATGCCCTACTCAAAACCATGAGTTGGAGCTCAACTTTGTTGGCACACATACTTTCCAGACTGGTCAGAGAAACAGCAATGCAATTAAACATCTGTGTTTTGTGCAACTGTCATTGCATACCAGGAGTGGAAAGTAAAACCTGCACCCAGATGGATTTCCCTCTGATCCCTGGAAGCTAGTTTCCTTCCCCACAATATCACTCTATCTGTAAGAACACTGCTTCTCTTGCACTTCCCTTTCCCTTTTGATGAGTTTTTTTTCCCTATCTCATCAGAAGGTTTCTCTCTGTTTCCCAGCTCGCATCACTTTCCCATCTTTCTCTTTGTCTGCACCAGTGAACATCTCTAACAGTTGTCCTATAACCACACGGCTTCCCTTCAGAGCTAAACTATTTCCTCTTCTTATCAAACAAGATAATTCCTTCAAGCTCACTGATTCTCTTACTGACAATTGCAGTTCCTTACTTGCATTATTAGATTCTTTCCTTAAACCTCTCTGCACAAGACTGTTCCAATTTTTAGTTGGAATTCCCCTCTCCTTATTCCCAGAAACCATGGTTATTTACCCATATACCACTTATAGCAGGAACTGTTTCTTTGCTAACACAGAAACTGGCCTTCTCACACTCCACAGTACCACTCAACAATAAACAAAGAAGGGAGTAAGTCACATACTGCTAGCCACATGCAATGAAAATGCAAGCTATTTCAGGGTACTGGGCTACAGGGTTTCGCTGTCCAGCAAGTAGTAATAGGAAGCCTTTGTTAATAAATCCAGCAATAGCAATTCTTCAAGAATTTGTAGATGGTGTAGATCATACTGCAGAGATGTGTGTTCCTCAAGAGAATAGTGTCAACTACTAAACTTAGTAACAGTGGTTATTAAGATTACATTACCAAATGGAGGCATAAAGAGTGGGATGATGTGAGCGCTTCTACTAAGCTAAGGGATTGCTTGGTCAGTAAAGCATAAATATGGGAAAATTATGGGATTTATAACAGCCACCCCTCAAAGAATCACAGCTCTGTAGTGTAAATAGCTGCCCTTAGAAGAAGAAATAGGCAATGCTTCCCCACTGTAGTAAGACTGAGGAAGGTTCAGCTGAGCAACAAGACGGATGACTCCAGAACCATCTACCTACAATTGGAGTCTGATTCCTTAGTTACGTCTTTTGAGGATGCTTAGTAACTGCTGCAGCCAGTGGATTTATAGTTAGAACAAACAACAGAGTTTTGTTCTACAGACTGTTATTAACTTGGATCAGTTCTAGAAAAGTTTATTTGTTAGTACAGAAAATTAGTACTCTGATAAACAACAGAAACTTTAACTCTTTGTACTATCTCTAGAGTCAAATTTTTCAGATAAAGTGCTTATGCAGTATATTCAGGAGAAGTCCTTTTCCAAGATTAAGAGAAAATACTATACTTTCGGTGCTGTCTTCAAGCTTCCCACATACCAGATCAAAGAGAGCCATCAGTGACAGTGGAGGTTAGGTTCAACTTGACAAGGTATCAGCAAGAATGCCTCAACCTGAGAGAAACCAGTGCCACAGTAATGACTGATTTCCTAGACAAGTCAACACAATCCTTCCTGCACAAACTTGTTTCTCCACAGGTTGTAAGCCAGTGTATCCATCCACTCCTGCACCTGGACATCAGAGGGCAAGTTTTTCCCAGACCATGTGTAAGCAGGCCATGGTCACAGAAGTCAACATGGTACAGAAGAACACATTGCAGCAAACTTTTAGAGGCTGCTTATATTTGCTTTAAGTTTAATGTTGTTACTTTCTTGACTGTATCCAGAGAGACACTGCCATTTCAATGCCTGCTTCCTGTTAAGGCTGACACATGTTGCAAAAAGTTACTTTTTATTACATATCCAGCCCCACTGCAGACCAAGCCCATCAACCCACAACAGATTCCATCACTACACTTATAATATAAATCCAAAACCTAACCAAATGCCTCATACCATACCAGAGACAGGCATGCTATACACTAGAAGCTGAAATTTACTAAGACAGTTGTCTCCTACTTTTCAGGTAATCTTCTTCCTTGATTTCATTCCCATTTAGCTTGCTAACTAACTAATATTAGGGCAATACTAGAATACGTTTTGTTCTACCAGAGAGTGGTTTTCTTAGAAGCATATAGAAGTTCCCTACTCTAGAAACTCTCCTTCTTTAAAGGAAGTATCTTCACTGCACATCTATGTTGGTACTCTTAGTTTCATTAGGGACTAAATAATCTACTCTTGTATTAAAGGGAAAGCTTACAATAAGTTTGCAGCATTAAAATTGAAAAGCAGAAGATGAAACCAAGTTTGCAATGAAAAGTGGTCTAGACTCTTGCACATTTTCTGTCAGATTTGATCTTCTTCACACATAACTACCAATGATCTTGATTTTGAGTACGCATAAAAGTTCTCCCCGTGTTTAAGAACAGCTCAGCACCAGACATCCATTGCTAGCATGGAAGTGTACTAACTAGCAGCACGTATTTGCCAGTCATCTGACCAGTTGACTAGTCTTGCTTGAGTCTAATTCCTGATAGGGTCAAATATCAAAGCATTTATGAGAACCCTCCGTTGTGACTGCTCTTTTGATGTTCAAATTCTTCTCAACGTGATCTGGCTCTTAAAGATGTTAGTTTATAATCCAAAGGGACGTTGTGAAGCTAACTGTGATGACTGGTACAGGAATCACCCCAGGACCTATTATGCTTTTGGAAAAGATGTTAGCAGCTCTACTACAACTTTCTGAAAATCGTTTGGTGCTACAACTGTTAGTGCCAACTTGCCAAATTCCTCCCAACCTGCAAGCACAAATGTTTCTTCCCTTTCCTGAAAGGCTGAGCTCTGGATCTCTGCCTGAGCCCCTCATGCAGCTTCTGTCATACTGTGGGAACTCCAGTGCTGCATCCACAGTCATACCAGCTGCACCAGGGACCCCCAGTAAAAAGCACAAGACAATCCTTCTCATGGAGTAGTAATGGCAGGCACTGACTTTGTCACTGTTTGAATATCCAAATTAAAGAACAAGTAGCATGATAAAAATTTCCTTATAACTCCTCAAGATTCAAAGCCACTAGAAACAAGTGGTGCTCTGTTGCTACCACAGACAAGGAGATAGTCAAAGTAGGTCTCAGACACTCTTAACTAGGCTTTTAGGACTTAAATGAAAGGCATACTCAACTCACAGCCATTACACTTAAAAAGCTCTCATCTATAAATAACAATCATCACCACAACCAAAATCATTTCATTGCTTCCCAGCTTTGCAACGCTGCTTACTGCACATTTCAACATTACACAACCAAGATGAGCCCTCAGGAACTGTTGCAACAAAAATACTCAAGTACTATTAATGCTCCCCATAGTACAGGTTAAAAAGATGCAATTTATAGTTTCGATCTTTAAATTTTGCATGAAATAGCCAAGACTAAATAAGATTGTTGCATTATGTAGGCTTATGTCACTAATTTGGTTGGTAGTTCACAACTAAATGGTCAAAACTGACATTAACTTCAATAAGCTTGATTAAGAATTTTCCATAGCTAAAGTGTACAGAAGACAGATGTCAAACACGTTTTGATGTCAAACAAATGTCTAAGCACGTTTTCAGCAAACAAAATTACAGACACTAGCTAAAAAGGTTACAAGAATACTGCAGAGGAAGAACAAACATTTCCAGCTAATCATCATGCAAAAAAAAAGAAAAGCTCTCTTGCTTGATAATAGCAGACCAGGAATGCTATGTATCAGAGTAACTCTGGCAAGCAGAAATGAAACCAGCAACGTTTGGAATGGAAAGTACTGTCTAGACTAAATAAGACAAGCCTATCTCAGACTGCTTTCTTCATTTTATTTACTGTGAGTCTGATACATGCTCCCTGCTTGGCTCCCAGCTAGCAACAATTGAAAGAAAAACAAAGTTATCTGAATTGTTAATAATTTTAACCTAGAAATTAATTCCTTCTTCTCTACCTTACCCCAGACTCAGAATTAACAGCCAAATGTAGAAGAAAACCTAGCACTTTCTAAAATTATGATATGATATAAAGAAAACATACAGGACAGTTTTAAAGGCACGAGAATAGAACTAAAAGCCTGCTGTCCTGTAAATTACCAGCAGTAAATTACCAGTTCAGCTTGACCTTTGCCAGCTGTTTCTTCCTTTGGTTGCTTGTCTGTTGTTTGGGTTTTTTTTTTAATTATTTTTATTTTATTTTATTTTTTAAGTTTAAGGTACAAGAAAAAAAATCTAACTTCCCAGCCAATGAAGAACATACAGAATTTCTTCAAAGCCCCTTAACATTATCAGACCCAGAAAGCATGGCCTATTTTATAATGTACTTCCAGTCTCAAAAGATGAAAGAGGAAGTGTTCAACCTTTTCTTTCTTCTCACCATCACAAAAATTCTGCACCAAGTGTATTTTACATACAAAAAAATATTAATGCATACTGAATACTTTGCCCCTGACTTTCATGGTGAACACTGCAAACCTGTTATTGAGGAATGCCTGCCCAAGAATAACATTCATATTTTCATCATAAACCTACCTCAGCTTTATGCCATTGTAATGAAGATTTCCTGAGGCTACAATTTGCAAATATCTGTGCTTGGATATGAATAAATAATTTCAAACAACACCTTCAGGTTATTCAGTTTTTGTTTGCTTGTTTTACTATTTGTTTTTACTTATGTA